TATCTGTACAACCTACCAAACTGCACCTCTCCTATCTCCACTTATGCTCTTTTCAAACTCTTAGAAGAAAAGGATTGGAATTGCTACATGACTTTTTTAAGCACATACCTGAATACTGTAACATCTATGGAAAGCAGCATAGCCAAGAAATAACAGCTCTGTAACATTGCTACTCCTTAACGCAGCAGAAAAATCAAATGCTGAAGTGTCAAAATACATTGCAGCATGTATGTGTGTAAATGTCTTAATCTTTACACGCAGTGTATCAAAATAAAACAACATTTTCCCAAGAAATTGAAAATATAAAAACAGCATCTTTACATTATACTAACAGTATATGGAACCCCTCCTGTAACCAGCTGGTTTTGTTTGCTTGTTTGTGCTTTTAACCAACTTGTGCACTGCATGTTCTGTTCAAACAGGACAAGAGGATTAATGAGTATGCAGTGTTGTCTCAAATCTTCTTTTCCAACTACAGTGTATTCACTTAAACCTAACTAATGGAGTCTTTGTCAGGGAGTGTAGAGACACAAGAAGGGGTAATGGTTTTAAACTAAAAAGGTAGATTTAGATAAGATATAAGGAAGAAATTCTTTACTGTGAGGGTGGTGAGGTACCGGAACAGGCTGCACAGGGAAGCTATGGATGCTCCTTCCCTGGAAGTGTTTAAGGCCAGGCTAGATGGGGCTTTGGAAAGCCGGGTATGGTGGGAGGTGTCCTTGCCCATGGCAAGGGGCTGGAATTAGATGGGCTTTGAGGTCCCTTCCAACTCAAACCATTCTGTGAGTCTAAATTCAGACTAACTAATTGCAAACAACTGAGCTGTTTCCCACAGCATTCTCCTCAAGTAACTGGCTGCTCATGGCTTGGGCTGGTGTACCCGCTTCATTGGGTTAAAAACTGGCTGGATAGCCAGGCCCAAAGAGTCATGGTGAATGGAGTTAAATCCAGTTGGAGACCAGTCACTAGTGGAGCCCCCCAGGGCTCAGTACTGGGGTCAGACCTCTTTAATACTTTTATTGCTAATCTGGATCTGACGTTTAGGTGTGGAGCTTAGTGATATGGTTTAGTGGAGGACTGGTTAGTTACGTCAGAGGTTGGACTAGGTGATCTTGGAGGGCTCTTCCAACCTAGGTGATTCTGTAAGAGTCAAGATTTTGCTAGGTCGCATTCTCTGGGGTCTAATACAAATCTGTATCACATAATAGTACCTTTTTCCTATTAATTCCATTCTGTGAGGAGACATTTCCATATCATACAAAAATAAACCAATAAAAAATTGTGGGAACACACAAAAGGTCAACGATAAGAATAGTAACTAATATAGTTATAGTTACAAAGTATAGAGATGTTCATTTCCTGTAACTCAATATATACTGAATCAAGAATGTAGAGATACCAACTTTGGAAATAAGAAGAAATAAGAAGAGAAAGATTGCAGTGTAAAATGTTTTATTCCTACTACCCTAAACCAGGCAACTATAAAAGGTGATAATCCAATAGGAAGCAACAGGCCAGTATATCCCAAATAACCAAACTCCTCAAAACATGAAACACAAGCTTTCATGCAGCAACTACAAAACTATATTCTATTGATATTTATAATACAGCCTAACTCAAGAGACAAAGCTGGCAACTAAGACATCTGCTCCTTCAATAAACCCTGGATCAACTCCTCAGATATTTTAGCAAAAACCTGATTTAAACTTGCTAAGAAAACACAAACATCATTGGGTTTTCCAGAAAGGACGGCATGATTTTCCTCAGTTCCTGCATTCAGTTCTGCTCAGTTATAGCCCTTGTCTCTCCTGAAATAGTAGAAAGCTGAAAGTAATAATCAAATGTGGAAAACAGATCTCTTCATAGGAACTTCAGAAATCAAATGCTGATAATTATCAAGATTCTATATGATTTTTGTTTACTGCTGTCTTAAAACACTTTGTTGTGTCTACAAGAAACCAAGGCATTTCCTAACCTTGCTTTCAGGGATTTCTTTTCCCAATGAGCATCTAGCCTTCTGATGTCAGTTGCTTCTGCAAACTATTAAGCAGTGGTTCCTTCCAGAGATGGCATTAAATTAACCGCTCTATGAAAAACTCTTGCAAGGCTGCTCTGCAGTTGCTCTGAGCCACAACATCACAGCCCTGCCAGCTGGCACCCCTGACCAGAGGGGCATTTTCCCCTGGGTGCACACTCCCTGCTTCCCACTGGGTCCTTTCATTCTCACGGCAGGATTAGACCAGTGAAACAGGCTAAGGGGCAGACCTGGGCCAGCAAAATCCATTTTTCTATTGAGTTTACAATACGTGGCAGTGGAGCAAGTCTGCTGAAAGCTAGCTTGCATCCCCCTACAGCTCTTCATTTCATATGGTTTGAAAGCTTGCTCATACTGAAGGAACCATTCGGATACCCAGTGCTAAGGAACAGTAACTGCAGGCCTCCCTTCCAGGGAAGCTATGTCTCCCCATGACAGGAACACAAAGCGAGTCCTTGTTTCATTTAAAGTAGAGTCATAAAAATGAAGAACAAATACAAATTTTCCTCTAAAAGCAAACAGACCTTTGGCTAGTTCTTAAACCTTCTGACTTTTCAATGTCGTTTTGATTAGGATTGTTTTAAATTTATTTTGATTGAAATACAGCCCAGTTGGCAGTGGTAGAGATGCTTTTCTTTGACAGTCCACAGCTATTTCATTAAGAGTGCTGGATATCCTGCACAGAGTTCAGGAAGGAAGAGCATCAGGCCAGTTCAACATGAAATTCTGTTCATTTAGGTTTTATTTTTCCCTAAGATTGACAGCACAGCTCTTCTTCATACTATTATAAGTTAAAAAATGAAGGCACCACTGGTAACTTTATTGGAAATTGCTTTGCTGAATACAGACTTGCATGTAAACCATTTCAAGGAAGATTTTCACATGCAACTCCTGGCATGCCAAAGAAATGTTCATGTACAGCTGAGTTTGGACCATAGTGGTGTTTTTCCCCCTTTCTTTCAGCAGCTGCACTTAGGTATCTCCTTTATGAAAGGCCACATCCACACAACTGCCTACGTGAAATAAAAACTCTCATATATAAGCTGGATGTTCTGGAACAGTTTTAGCCAGTATAAACATGAGCACAGACACAGGGGATGCAAGTCTCAGCAGTCTCTCCAGGAATGGATATGCCTCCATGTTTAGTACATTGGCTTAAAACAGTTAAGAAACGCAGCTTGTCAGAAAGGTGATTAAAAGGGACCTTAAAGATTTATCTGGATATATTCAGCTCACACAATACTTTCATCTCAACATGCAACCATTTTTTGCCATACAAAAATTCTTTTTCTACTATTCCTAAGTACCAGAATTTTTGAAAACTGTTGTCTCCAGGGAGAGCATTATGATCAGCTTTCCTGTTCAAAACAGAAATTCCTATCTTCTCTAGCAGCTCCAAAGTAACTAAACCATCCTGAGCTTTCTAGTGTACCTACCTGCCAAAAGAAACACACACACTTCTAAAGAAGGAACAGTAAAAAACCAAGAAGTATTATTTAATGGCAATGAAGTTTGAGTGGGTGAAAAACATTCTTGCTTTTCTTGGAATGACAATTCTCAAAATGCTTTTTTTAATTAGGCTACTCAGACAAGCTGCATTTACCCATTTATTTTCTTTCACAGATTGTTACCTTTAAAGATCTGTCATCTAGATTCTAGCAAGTTAGAGATGATCTTTGTTAACACTTCAAAGATTTGTATTTGAGCAAGTCATAATTACATCATAAGTATGCTATCCCAAATTTTCCAGATCAGTATTTCCTGAAGTTTTATTTACGTCCAAGTCTCAGTCCACAGTAACTTATTTTTGCACATCCCCATCACAAAACTTCTCATTTAAAATCTTACAGACAACACTGACCTAGGCACTTCCTACCACACAATAATGGTTCATATATGCCAGCTCTTTTGTGCTATATATAATTAGCAAATACATATACCATATATACTTACATGGAAGAGTGCACAAGTATGTACCAGAGAGTCTAACATTTCACCTTCCTGGCTTGCATATGTCACAAGGGATTTGTGCAGTTATGAACCTCATTTTTCAAATATAGCACTCTCCTCATCTCAGACACTAAAAGTTTTGGAACAACTTTCCTATTCATAATGGCTCAGAACATTTTGACTATAGACTATGCCTGCAATGCACAGTGTCACAGGTCAGATACTTCAAAGGCTACTAACAGGCTGCTGTGTAACTTACAAAGGTCACAGTGCTTTCAGCTGTCCTCTGGGAACTGCCAGGTTAAGAATGCCAGAAAGCCACACTTCCAATCAAACTGTAGTAGAAAATAGGGTTCAACATGCACATTTATTGTCCTTGAAAGTTACAACACAGAAGTTAACGTGCAAAGCGTATGCAGAACACAGCAAATGAATCATCCCCAAATGGAAGACTTCGATGCTTTCTTATAGAAAGGTGAGAAAGTTTATGTACAAGATAATTTTTTCAATGGGCTTTCAGGCCAGCATTTAAATGCTATATTTCAATAGATATTTCCTTCATTAAATTACTGACAATCTCTATTTTCATTTCCTTCTCTTTTTTTTTTTTTTTCTTGAAATAGGGGAAGGCTTTGGGAACTTCCCATGGTTCTCAAGTAATCTATAGCAATGAAGCGACTTATCTCTGGTTTATAACTCATTCCTCCAGAGTTATTTTTCCTCGCAACGAAAACCTATCTTAGCGTCAAAATTCTCTTAGCACCAAAATTCTAATTCTACACTTCTTCCAGCAAAAAGAGAAAATGATGTGTAAGATACCGGATCTTTTCTACTGGAATTTTGTATGGTACTTTGGAACATAGTTTATGGTACAAAACCTTACAAAACCTTGATGTTTTCTACTTTCTCATCTGATGTGCAGCTACTGTATGCAGCAATGAAGGCATTAGTATATACCATCTTTGTGTTACGTTCTGCATTTAAAACAATGTATAGTGTAAGCTACTGCACATACCGGCGGCTATCTGTAGGCACACGCATGTTCATCTTTGCACCGCTACTCCCATCCTCTCTCGAAGAATGCACTGAAATCAGATAGGAAATGCTCTGAGGCTCAATTGTTGAGGACAGTTACAGTACCATCGCTTAATCACTCAATCTTTCTGTTTTGTTAATCATGTAGCTGAAGAAAAATGATCTGATAGTAATTGTGCATCCCTTTTAATTAGTCCCTGGAAAGAAATGCCAGGAGCCAAGAATGTCCAAATCTTCTGAATAAGTGGAAAAAAATGCACAAAGAATATAAACATTGTCAGTTTATATACACCAACACTTTCTTTTTGATCATGAATCCCTGTTCTGTTCCCCAAGAAAAAAATAATGAAGTTTTACAGAAAGTTGCTCACATGAATATGAATATCAGTGCCTGAGCTAACAAAATCCTCCTAGCCCAGCTTCCCCTTCCAAGCTTTAGCATATTAATCTCTTTTCCTTTTAGCTGCTCCAGGTCTTGCATAACAATGCCACTTCCTGAATTCAAATCTCTACCAATAAACCTTAAGGCTGATTAATACTTTATTAAGCTCTGTGAATATTCCCTTAAGCAGGGCATTCCTTTAAAACCGGGGTGTGCTGTCACAATTCAGCATCATTTTCTTAGCACTTTCAGAGTAAGGAGCAGAAGCATTACTGCAATCAACAACCAAATATCTTCCTGAAACATGGAACCACTACCATTTCAACAGGAGACTTAACAAGCTACCAATGTTCTGTTGAAATTCTCAGCGCTCCATACAGCAACCATCTATTTCTCTGTTAAGTATTTGGGCAGGCTCGTAGGGGAATCCTCTACAGGTACCCGGAAAGATAAACAGCACACTTACCATCCTCTGCCTTTCTGTACAGCATGAAACCACAGGCCTTTCGTAAGACTGTTTTTTGAATCATCAGTGATTAAACCTTGATGCAAGTGGTTATTCTAGTAAAATATGAAAATAAAAAAGGCATGTGATCTATGAAAGATGCTCAGTTTTGATGTGCATGCTAGGTAGTTCCTTTTGTTACTGGTATTTCTAGTGAGTGTGAGGCTAAAAATAAATGTATAATTACCACGTTTGAGCTCCTGCTTGAGTTTGAGACTCCTACAGAATTTGGAATATCTATGTGTTAGATATTATCTACTATGTGCTACGTGACGTGTGACTTGCAGGACGGGGAGGACAGCAGCTGATGGCAATGAAAAATGCAGATCGACACAGTCCACAAGAGAACTTTTGACTAAGAGTATATCACAAGGAAGAAAAAAATAAATCGTCTTGAAGGGCAACTACTACAGTGGGGAAAATGTATTGGACTTCAGAAGGTAAAATTTACTTCACAATGAGGTTCATTAAAACATACTATTTGCTGCTAAAATTTTATCATCCACTCAAGATCCATAAAATACCTTTTCTCAAAGGGGCTGGAGAAGAAAAACTGCGTTAATAAGAAAAGATGAACTACAGGTTGCACATTTAACATTTTTGATGCATCTTCATATTAATCCCCAGTGAAAAACACCTACTGACATTGAAGAGGACAAGACAGGGTTCTGCACACTCCAACTGTAAAAAGTTCATTGCACAAGGAGCAGTAAATAAGGACTTGAACAAGAAACAAAAGGATACAGCCTTTTAATGTCCCTTGTCTATCATGACGCTTTTTACAAGCCACACAGAGCAAAATATGTATTACTCTAACCCCAAATGTACTAGTTAGTTGATGGAGCAAGAGCTCAGTACACGAATAATCCCAGTTGTTTCTCACAGCAAGGGAATGCTGAGGCCTGAGTAGTCCGTGGCAAGATGAAATGCCAACAGCGGAAACAGCAGAGCTGGATCCACACCATCCCGATCCAGCCTAATCAGCACTTTCATGAGCAATGAGGGACAAAACCCAAAGTGAGCTTTAAAAATTGGTCTAAAAAGTCATGCGAATGAGGAAACAGCTCTTGGAGCAGTGCAACTTATACTCCGGATCTTGTTACCTCCTGTCTCATGCCCTCCTTAAGATACCTCAGCACCTGCTTCACAACTGGGATACAACACCTGCTGCTTGGGTATGGGTGGGAAAAAGGAGAGAATTAGTGGCACCCTTCGTGTCCTCATCTTCAGTATCTTTCCCCTCACTAGAAGACTGCAGACACTGAGGACCCAGGCCTTTAAAATGAACCTCCAAAACTGAACGAAACACAAGTGAAGAACCTAGAATGACCAGTTAGATCCTAAGGTACAGGTATCTAACTAAAACAAAATGGAAGCTTGAACACATTACATAAAATTGCCATTTTTCAGTTCTCTGGGTTACACCATCTGTATTTCCTCATGTCTTAGGATTTTTGACATCTGTTTCAGAATTTTAATCTGACATTAGGTGAACTGTATGTATGTAGTATTAATACACCAATGTACAAAAACCATTAAGGACTACAGAGTTTTAGTAGTCTGCAAGGTTACAAAATGTCTTCGCAGATTTTTTTGCTCTGAAACATCCAAAATTTTTCAGCAACAAGCTTACCTTCAAATAATATATTACTGCATATTCAAACCCATGTAAAGCAACATGCTTCTGGACCTTTGCTTTTCTCTTTAAACAATATACAAACGGGTGAGCCTTCATTGACACAACAACAAAACATTTCTTAAGATGAAGATTTAAAGGGGGTGGTGGTAGTGGGAACAGACCAGAATTGGGAGCTGAAGGATAAAAAGAGCGAGTCTATTGGAAATCAAGCTTCCTTCTACTCGCAGAGCTGGGTTTAAAAAATAATAATAATAATAATTACAGTTTCCCAAGAGCTTGTTTCTTGTTCCAAACTGAGATGAATAAAAAAAGTTCTTTTTCAATTAAATTAGATATTCTACAACATTTCTCCATTTTGTGCTTATGTCAAGCAATATCACCACACTGAGCACTTCAAAGTTAGAAATTGCATTAAAATACATTTCACCTCTTTTGGGAAAAAGTAGCTCAGGAAGATTCATGCATTTTTTGAATCATTTTGGTCATGGAACTAACTGCAAAAGCTTCTGGCCACTTTTTCCAAACATGAACAGATTGACTTGTATTTCCACCCAATTCTTATCTTTCTAGCCCAACATTAAAAATTTTCCAGTGACCTCAAGCACTTCCATTTCCTTGTAAATCCCTAAAGAACAATTAACTTCATAAAAGTTCCATCTGAGTAGATACCAGATCCATTACTATGCAATCTACTGGATAACCGATCCATTATAATAAAAGACTTATTTCATTTGCTTTGTGGATATCAAACAACCAAGTTTATTACACAGTTTGTTTTTAAGTATGCATTATTTGCAAAAATTACCCCAAGCTTGTGCCAGAAGTTAGGGTATGTTTTGAGCCATCCTAGTTTATTTAGCATATAGCCAATCTGTAAATCTGTTTGTAAATCAAACAAGAATAATTGATTTACAGATCACACATGCAATAAATTCTCACAGAATTACCACATTTATTCTACCTACCACCACCACACATAGAGTAAATGTCCCGAGAAAAAAAAAAAAGCTCATATTTTTCTAACTCAGTCACTTCATTTTTTTTTAATTTCAATCTGAATACAAAAAGAATTTTTTTCTTACCCTGGCAACAGCTTCTCTCTCATCTACACGTAAACCAGTTGGCTTCCATTTTTGAAGATGGGATCTGAGTAGTTCTCTCTCACAACAAAATCCCAAAATCAGCAGGTAGTACCTAAATAAACTGTTTTCTTTCTGGGAGAAGTTTACTCCTAAGTGTACTCCTAATCTGTTTAATTATAATTTGCTTAACTAATCTCAGTTTGCAATGAGTCATGGGGAAAACAAATTCACCAAGTCCATCTCTGTTCAGCTGAACTTGGGGGAAAATGGAAAATGTCATTTAAAGTTATCAGTATATGGACATGGGACTATAGGGACAAACCCATTTTACACATACGTAACAACCCAGGAAGGAAACAAGAAAAACACACCAAAACACAACTATTGCAATGCATTACGTCTACAGGTATTTATAATCATAGCCTACTTTAATCTGTTAATACATTGCGAATATATTTGGCACATCAAAATGAACTTACTAAATGAAATTACTAAAAAATCCTGCCTAAATGCTTTGCAGATAAAACTCCTTGTGACAACCTAACAGTAAGTGGACAGACTTGTATTCCGATTCTAATTATTAATGCAAACCCAGCAAGACCAGCCAACCAACCATCAACTCCAACTATTTGAAATACTAAAAAGACGATCGAAATTATCTAAAGGACAGCATAGCTGGAGACAGGGAGACAGCACGTGAAGACAGAGAATACAGTCAGTTTATCTAACAACTTTTGCTTTTGTTTCTTATACACAGTAGATAAGTACAAATGTGAAGGTACTCTAACAAGCAGTTTCCTTAGCTCATAAAACCACACATTTCTTCATACTCCTATTGTGTGAAGATAAAGCTCCTGAAATTGTGAAAAGTAGCATTATTCTAACCCACCCAAAGCCTAAACAAAAATGAGTTTTCCAGAACTGGAACACCACCTGCAAGATACTTGGAAAACAAATTCTGCTCGCATTTTCCAGCATTAAAAAGCAGTTGTTTTTTCTTGCATTAACACCACTTGGTTATGAAACGATAAATTTAGCCTCTGTGCAAAGAAAGGAGTGAACATAATGGCTCCCTTAAGGCACAACATTGAGGTAGGAGGGATGTTAGCTCAATTTCATTTTCAAATGCTGTAGAGAAGGATGACAGAAAGAAACAGCTTCCAGTTGTCATGCTTCTCATCTGCCTGGTCTATAGATGGCTTCCCTCCAGATTTCTCTAATAAGCTCTATTACAGCACAACCCTTCACTGTCTTTCTAATATGCATGCTGCAGCCTGTGTGGTCTAGTTAGACTAGTTCACGGGAAGCATTTGGGGTTTTGAATTATTTTTTTTAAAACCTGGGATAGCAAAAGAAGGTCATTTCATTTAATGAACCCACAGGAATCTCATAATATTTCAAATATTTGTATTTGTGTGTGAAGACAGACATTTGTGCGGGATGTGGTAGGGAAATTTTGGTTTTGTATATTAGTTTATTTTGGGCAAAGGAAGATTGCTAGTTTCCTACTAGTGTTTTTGCTAGATTATTTTGCAAAACTGCCTATAGGATTGATTGCCTGTTAAAATTCAAAATTTAACTTGGGGAATTCATGAAACAGAAATAAGACAACACTGTAAGTAGTCAACAGTAAAAATTAACGAAAGGGGAAATAAATCTGCATTGTTTAGGGATAGGAAAGTCACAAATAAACCCCACTGGTATATTTCAATAGAAGAGCGACCTTTAGAGAAACAGACTGCATTCAAATATACAGGGAAGGAGGAGGAAAAACAGGAAGCGGCATAAATAAAGGGCAGAGGAATGAACAGAATGAGGATTGATTGGGTAACACAGCTAATGCAAAGTGGACCATCTTGGGAAGATCTGATCTTGCATGCTACAAATTCTTCAGCAGAGGACAGATAAAAACAGTCCGAAACTTGAAATTCAAAGCATGCTGTTTCACTAGGCAGAAAGATTGAAAGTAACTTAGTTTTAAACACATCCTAGATTTCAACACAAATGCCACGTTTAGCGTACAAATGTTTTATTTTTAAGCAATAAATTACTGGCCTAAGGTCTCCAACTTTTTCTCTTAATACAGATAAAAGCTTCAGAGATGTGCATCACCGGACAGTACAGGTAAATATTATTTTCTCCTGTGGCAGACTCAACCTAGAACATTTTCATCTTCCCCCCAGCCCTCCCAAACCCTGCTGCTGCCGCTCCACGGATTTGCTGTTCCTTCGGCCCGCTGACACAAGCGATTGTGAGGTGAAGTTGTAAAATGGGCTGTTTAAACACCTTTGAACTTATTCTGTCCCCACTCCAACGCTCCCCATCCCAGGTATTAAACTCACGACTTTTCAATGACCTGTTCTCCACTGTAGCCCTATTAATTTACTTCAGCACAAACGAGTAGGGTAACAAATTGCAATTCGCTGATAGGAATGACAAAGTGGTTTAGGAAACTAAAACAACATATCCCTAACTCATTCTCACCATCACTCGGCCGCCTTTGTGGTGCTGACCACCTCCTGTAGGGCTACAGTTTTAACTGATTTGGGTAAACAGTAACTGAGCAAAAAAAAAAAAAAAAAGCACCACACCCCTTGTCCCTAGCTTTTCTCAGATCCATTTCTTGACAGCTATACCAACAGGCATGCTAGCATGGAGTAAAACCAAGAGACTAGGGGCAGGAGCGTGGGGCAGCTGCTTAAGATGGCTTAGGCAATGCCTCTGCCAAAGCACTAACTGGAGACTGACGGTGCGGATTCAGGTTACAATTAAAGGATTACACAGCGAGCTATGGCCAAAAAGGATGGTGCCATTTCCTTCTCACCTGGCCCTGAAGCAAGTTCTCACATCTTCTCACATGCTTCACTCCTAGTACTCATCTGACTAGCATGAGATCTTTCAGAGAGCAAAAGAAATGTAAACTATTAAAGAAAAATCCATCGAAGTTGAGCAGAATCAGCAGCTTACCTTTACTGACAGGGATGCTGCACAGTTCTCTGCCCCCACCACGTTCATGGCGCCCAGGTCTGATTCCTTCCTTTGTGCTGGTTCCAGTGCTTACGAGCAGGACTCCTCACTGAGTTGCCAACTTACTGCTAAAACCTTTGCTTCTTCACTGGATGAACTTTCTGTTCCTTTAGCAAGTCGAATTGAGTTCAGTGGAGTGCCCACAGGTGACGGTGAGAAGCAGAAGCATACAGCTGGGGAGAGGAGGGAAGATGGAAGGAAGAATTAATTTCTGGATTAATTTAGGCACTGTTTCATGCTACAGTTGAAACAGGAAAGGAAATAAAATCTATAAAGAGAAAAGTACTGCTGCAGGGTAATTAAGACCTAGGAGTAAACATGCCAAATGGTGTTTGCCACATGACAACAAACAAATGTGAATCAGAATGTGAATCAGTACTTGAGCAGAGGAAGGAATGTTTTCTCTGCCATTCAGGAAGCACTTCAATTGTTTCAAAAAGGTGTGAGTCATTAACTCCCGCATGTATAAGTGAGACATCCAAAGCTATAAATACCTGACATACTTCAAGGGCTCTCTGGAACGGAACAATGGAAATCTATATGTACTTTTTCAAAATTACAGAAGCATGAAAGCCATGCATCATTTCACAGATTTTGATTTGTTGTCTTTAGGCTCTTCTGAATTGGATTACCCAAGCATGAAGAGCTATAACCTTCAAAGGACCTGTTTCCTTCCTTCTGACACTAAGGATAGCTAAGCAGCTATCCAAACGTGAGAGGCGCACAGAACTTGATCGTATGCTAATTCCATGCAACATTTTTGTATGTCTGAATTCACAGCTTATCACAGCCATTAAGTGAAGGTACCTTTCCAAGAGCATCCATGAATCTCACTGGCAACAGCTAGCATCATAAAAACAATCCTCCTCCTCATTCTCTTTGATTTCACGTCTGCTTATTGCAGCTCAGCACCAAGGCAGTATGTGAGTTTTACTTACCTGCACCATTGATTTTTATGACAACTGGAAGATTCTCTGGGCTATAACACACTCACACTCTTTTTGATCTGTTTCTACCTCCTAACAGATTTTATTCCTTTTAAATACAGCTTAAAAGGCTGGTCTGACATCAGCATAGGGAGTTTTCATTCTCATGTTAAAACCACTACCATATCACAGCATATCAGTGCATTAGGGTCATCGAGACCTGGCAAAGGGCATGGTTCTAAATCTAGGTGCAGCTAGCCTGAAGCCAAATATTGCTGTAATAAAGTATAAACCCTATTCTTTCAGATACGCAGCTTTAATGTTTTCCCCTATGAAAGTCACCTAGTTGGGATGCCATTTGATTCCTCTACAACCCTTTTAGAGAAAAGTATGTTTTCTCCACATACTGTGTTTTTCAAAATAATTGTTGCAACACCTTCTACCTTTGCTAAAAGAGACTCCAAAGGATGCTGGTGGACTACCCAATATCTTGCTACAGGTATCTTGCAGAAGAGGATACATAAGATACCTTCAGTGTTCAGGTTAACCCAGGTGTACATTACTCTGATGAGACCGTCAAACTCCTAGGAAAAGTGATTGCAGAACAGGAAGAGGGGGGAAAAAGGGGGCTTAAGAGCTTGGACAGGCATTGGGACTCCTGCATCTACCCCAACCTCAGCTCTCAGAATACAAATGCACAAAAGCAACACAAAAACTATGCATGGCTATGTGTAAGCATATGGAAATTTTGATTTTTATCAGACAATTAATTATACTTTTATTAAGTATTGATGTATTAATCAGTGATATCCTTTCTTAATTCAGACTTCTCTAAAAGTTCTTATTTATAAAATTCCTTAAAACTATATTTATTTTCCTTAATAAATAGACTTACGCAATAAATACTTTATGAAAAACCTTCCCCCTCTACGTCTATTTATTTTGTCTTCAGAGATTGATTAGATATCATTGTAAGCTAGAACTATATGAATTGATTTGTACAGTCTGTGCTTTTGATGGAAGAGGTTTTCAAATGTAAAAGCCTGACTGTCCAGACTAACATTGCATTTAAAGCACTGTAGTCATCACACACAGGAACATAGCAGAGTATAAGGAAATTCCCCTTCCTTTGCTAACAAATGGCACTAAGATCTCACTCAGTGCAGGCTGCAGTCTTCTCAGAAAGTGAGAGACTTTCCACATGCTTGGTAAAAAAAAAAAAGAAAAAAAGTCAGTTTTAAAAACCTAGCAAGCTGAAAAATAAATATTCAAACTTACTGCTTCAGAGCCAGTAACTCAAGCAACATTGCCAAGTTCATCACCGAAAGTTTCTGCAGCTAGAGCTGCCCAAACTGCAATGCAATAACACAAAGAACCTTGCAACTACAGCTGGGTTATCTATCCCAGTGATGTATTTGTACAGAGCCACCAGGATAATGCTAACAATTTGTTCAAGTACAAAATGTTTAGAGAACATTCAACTAGCCTCTACTTTGCCATTTATGAATCTTACCTTGCCTACCAGCTCTGGAAGCTGAACTAACTGGTGCTGTACTGAGACCTGATGTAGATTCCTTTGCAAAAGTGTCTGAAGGACAGTAAGGCTGCTGCGTGAAGCCAAGAGCTAAATTTGCTGCACGTTTCATACAGCAGTTCTCTAATGTGGCACCAATAAGAAAAAAGTTAGTTTGCCTCACTTTCAAGAATCTCAGGTAATGATAGGGCTTTCCACACTGGAATCACAAATCACTTAACGCTGTGCAATTTAGAAAGAATCCAGAGGATGCAGGTTTTCCACAGCAGTGCCCCAGCAGGCTGCAGAGCCAGCTAGCAATCTCCTACCATCTCCTCAAATGCACATCTTGGACTAAAATGTACGAAATGGAAAAATTAAACAAGCAATAAACCACTCATACACGTAGAAGCTCATCTAAATGTCTAAAAACCTCTTAAGAAGCCTTGTTGAAATAATGTCAACACACTGAAGCAATTCTCGGAACAAACACCTCCCAAACCTGTTACCGCGCTGTGCCGTCCCTCCTGCCTCCCTCCGGTGAGGCTGCATTTATCATCTTGGGCTCACTTTCACACACACGGGAGAATCTGTTTACCAACTAATAACCGCAAATTAGACACACATCAAATTGAAGTGACCTCACCCAGGTGAATGCTACAAATCCCCCTGCCTTCACCAGTACTTTCTTAAGAGCTAGCTTCACATTTTCTTACCATTAAGAACTGGCCTACTTTATTCCAACAACCATCTGAACCGGACACAGCTTGCAGCCCTATCATTACATCTGCTTCCACCCTTTCAAATGGAATGCTTAATGGGTGAGGTTTTTCTAAAAGATGATTTTTGAGTCATGGATGGAGCAGGAACTGCCTCACTGTCCATACAGGGCTTGCCCACAACAAAACAGCTTGCTCCCAGAGACCAAAGAAATGTCAGCTGGATGTAAACCAACCCCAGAGAGCAACTGCAGAGAGAGCCAGCCTTCTCCTTCCTATTATTTTCATATTTCTCCTGCAGAGAATTTGTGATTTTTGCTTTAAGAAAGGACGATTAGTGTTCTCTTAAAGGGTACGTCTTGATCAGCTGGGGAAGCATGGGCCTTACCTGCCTTTCCACCACAAAACCCAGCAACTTTTAAAGTGCTACTGTACAAACCATACTCAGAACTGAGCTATTTCTAGCAAGCTATTGCCCAGTCAACTTCATTTTCCAAATTTATTTTTGATTATGTTTAATAGCATACAAAACCCCTGATTTTACAAGGAAATTACTCGACTTGAGTGTAACTATAACCACGCAACCGGGATAAGTACTTCTATGAGTCAGACCTCCACAAATTTTCCTGTTTTTCAGTTTTTTGAAAGATCGCTTTAGAACCAAAAGTGTAATACTTATGCAGTACACAGTTGTTAGTCCAATCTGTTCCATTACAAAGAAAATACTAAAATTTGAGTCTTTGAAACTCACTTAACAAATCATCCAAACCAGTATTTTGTTGAAATTGCAAACCTTAAAGAAACAGAAAAACAAACAACAGAAAAAAAAGCTGATTAAAAGTAAGTTAAAACATGTTAAGCGATAAACAGAACACCAGAAAACTCATGTGCCAAATCTCACAATGGATAAGCATTCCAGTGAAGTGGAGAGACAGAAGTGAAATTAATTTTGCATTTATGTACTTGATTTTGCCACCAACAGTATTTTAGCAACTGGCTTCTGTTTGGGCTTTGCCCACCTTGCTCAGGGCCTCATCCAGTCATGTTCTGAGCATCTCCACAGATAGGAGTGCCACTACTTTCCTCCAGGGAACCCCGTTCCAACATCCAAGCATCCTCACAATGAAGCCTTTTCCCCTTGTATTGCAGCAAGCTAATTTCTCCCTTGTTTACGCTCTATGTTTGTTACTTCTTGTGCTCTCAATTCCTGAACAGCTTGACTTCATCTTCTCTGCAACCTCCCACGAAGGAGCTGTGGACAGCGGCAAGATCCCGCTTCCACCTTCTCCTTGGCAGGTTGAGACAGAGTCTGGCAGCTTCCATCCTGCAAAGCAGAGCCCGGATGCAGGTGCGACACGATCCAGGCCTGGTCTGAGTGCCAAAACGGGAGGCCAAATGGATTTCTTGGGCTCCCGGCTCCCTGCTGCTACCAGAGATTAACTGGGAATGCTGTCTCCTTGAGCATAACACTGCTGAAGACAGTTATTTATTATATAATATTATTTTACTATTAAATCATAACTCACTCTCCAAAGTTTTATGAGCACACAATTAGGGCTAGTTAGAAACTACCCTTGCCTTTCAAACTTAACTTTAGCCCCCAGGCTCGTTGGGTATGTATTACAGGCATTACAAGGGTCTGGTACATCTATAGCACAGCCCAAACACACCACTGTTGCAGTCTCCGTACAAACAAATCCAGACACCATACTATAGGTTTGGCTATGCTTTATGTACTCCCAGTTTTGCAGCCATTTGCACAACACTGGTCTTGTCAGCATTCAGAAAACGTGCAAGGATTACTTGCAGAAGCTAGCCACAATTTTGTCTGAAAGAGGCAGGGGTGAACCTAAGACATGTCGTACCTGAGAGCTATTAAGCTGCCTGGGCAGAAAGAAAGGCACGACAGCATTCTTCCTGTGGGAACATACATGAATTTGACGTGCATTGATGGCAGTGCAAAAAAAAGGCTTTTTGTCCATGGGGACAGCCCCAAACAAGAGGCAGTATCACCT